AATAACTTTAACTAGCAAAACGCGATTCAGCCGCCATTGTTTTTGGTTTTCAAAGCCGGCTCTTTTCGCTACTAGTGGGCTATAACATATAGCCTAGTAGTGGCTCAACCAATCAGAACGCAGCATTGACAATAGACCACTAGTTGGATTTTACTAAATTACAATATTACATAGACTACACCAAAATTATACTTATGGAAAGAGGAGCGCGTCTAAATACCTAAATTCATAAACTATATACCGAAATAAGAAAAGTTATTCCAAAATATACAGATCTGAAGACGTAACAAGATAAAATATAGAAAAGGAAAACTTGCAAAACAAAACGAAAACTATTAGAAGAAGTGAGCTGACGTAGAATGGTATAAGTCTCGGGCCAAAACCATAAATAGCCCGATACTATCCCAGGAACACCTGCGCGCCTCTATAGTGTGCCTTCAAAATACTAATTTCTGACTAATTCGTTCCCATGTCTCTCAATCGTCAGAAATTACATCTCGCCACACGTGTCACACGTGTTTGTATACTCAATTGAGCCTGGGCTGCCTGTAAGGAGAAGAGCCAGTCCCGGAAGCACCGAGTTCAATTTTTTTTTGTTGCATTTATCGTCCTCTTGAAGCCATGGCTCAATGGGAAATCTTCGGTCCATACTCAAGCGAAGATTTGGAACCATTGGAGTGGAATGTAAGCGAGTTTTTGGAGCCTTTTGTTTGGGCAGCGTAGGACAGCCGAGTTTTCCCCTGTCTTCCTCTCACTCTTACTAGGTCTTAGTAGGGGAGAAACCAAAACATCAAAACTTGCTAAAATAGCGTTTATGGGGCAGGAAACAGTAAGAAAACAACACAGACACAACTTGAATGGAAACAGTAGAACCTCGATAACTCGAACTCGGAATATTCGAACTACTTTTCCTTTCCCTTTAAAAAAATTTAACTGAAACTCGAATTCCCCGCTGTCTCGAACTGTTTTTCGTTTCCCTTCAGAGTTCGAGCTAGGGGAGTTCTACCAGACTCGTATCCGGTCGCTATTTTTTGGGGGGTAAGAGAAGATTGGGGGTTAGGTTGAGGCCAGACTCGTACCCAGTCGCTATTTATGTGTTTTTGGGGTAAGAAGGATTGGGGGTTAGGATGAGGCCAGACTCGTACCCAGTCGCTACAGTATTTATGTGTTTTGGGGGTGAGAGAAGATTGGGGCTTAGGTTGAGGCCAGACTCATACCCAGTCGCTGTTGATGTGTTTTTGGGGTGAGAGAAGATTGGTGGTCAGGGTTGAGGCGCGCGCGGGGTCTCATTGAAAGTGATGAAGGAAAAATTTCGTCGGTATTTATTTTTCCTTCGTCACTTTCAATGAGACCCTGCGAGCGCCTCAACCTAACCCCCAATGGAGAGGAGAGGTCGTTAGTCACGTTGCCATGGTAGCAAAATTTTTGGATGACAACAAACCGATAAAGTCACTTAAAAGTCTATTCGAACTATTTCAAACTTCACCGATCTTATCCAATTTCATTTAATTTGGCAAATCTTGGCGAAATTTTCTTTGGGACCGTATTTATCGTTTAGAAAAAGAAGGTGTCAATTTTTGTGTTGTGTTCACATACTCCATAAACCGGGCTCGTGAAATTAAAAAGTTTCATGTCATAGTGGTGCAAGATGGCAAAGAAATGTACAAAATAGCGAGATGCACGTGCAAAGTTGTTGTTTGTTGATATAAACATATTATTTTTGCCGTTCTCCTTGCTGTCGCCGTTGTCGTTGGTTTTGTTGTCATCCAGAAATAGTCCTACCATGGAAACGTGACGTCACACTTCTCCTCTCTATCTTATCTCACTCCAAAAAGACATAAACAGCGTCCGGGTACGAGTCTGAACGAGAACAAAACAAAATGGTGGGTTGCTCCCAAGAGAAAACAGGCGCGGCAGCTAAGCACTTGCCGATTGGTTATCCTTTCATGTTACGCTTACGCCAAATAGACCTACTGTTTCATATAATAGTAATAGAATGTCCATACTCTTGTATACCCTGTACACCCATGTATACCCTGTATACCCTGTATACCCATGTATACCCTAGTCTCTCTGTATACCTTGTATACCCTTGTATATACTCTGTACCCATGTTTACCCTAGTCATACTGGATACCCTGTATACCCCTATATATCATGTGTACTCATGTTTACCCCAGTAATACTGTATACCTTGCGAACACTAATAATTAAGTGACTAAAGATGTCCAAAAGTGGTCGATGGTGGACAACAACGCATCGCTCTAATCACTTCGCAATGTTCGAGTCTTAAATGATTTTACTGCCTACATAATCGCCTTATGTAACTGCTCTCAGATTTGATATATTAAAGTGGGATAAATAACAGCATATAATTGTCCCCATTCTTCCTGCGTCAGTTCCAGATCCTCTGCAAATTTCAAGAACACCAAGCGTCTGCCCAAATTGACTTTTAGAAATACTTCAGAATGGAGTTCTTTCAGCTTGGAAATTGAGGCCCTGGGAGGTCGTAAAATGTGTTCTTGAGGGACGTTATTTCTTTCGAGGGGGGAACTATGACCCTCGCGATCATACGATAATGATTAAACTTTATTCTTATGAAAGACTGAATAATACCCATTTTCGTTTTGGGTGATAATAATAATCAATAATAATAACCTTCATTTATATGGTCTTAAAAAGACAAAAATAAAAATCAATAATGATGTCATAGACTATAGAAAATAGCTGATGATGTTAAAAAAAACCCTTTCTAATTTAAGTTGATGATGTCATCTCACCAGTTACCATATTAAATGATTATAAATTTTGATGATGATCTCATTGTTTTTTTGATGACGTCAACTCCCTAGATTGTTATACAGAATACCTTTCTATTTTTAGATGATGATCTCATCATTTTAATCCCCTGAGCTATTGTGACGTCACTCCAGCACCTCCATCACTGCGCAGAACCCCTTGTCTCCCTCTACTAATACCAATAATAACAACAACAATTATAATGATAATAATAATAATAATAAAACCCAGTAATGAACAAATTTTTTTCAGATCCTATATAGGCTGAACTTCAACATGCTCAGGAAGAGGCAGTTTCCCGAATTTGCTATTGCGGACGGAAAGTAAAATCCAGCAGTGAGCGGTTTTGTGTTTCAACTGAAAAATCATGTTGCCCTGTTTCTAAGAGGAAAAAATTGCCAAGCTCTGTGCAAGTGCCACAGCTGTGATAATCGCGGTCAGAATCCGCAAAAGCTGTCATGCCGGTGTGGAGAAAGCAGGGCTAGAGGACGGAAAACAGGTCAAAACTTTTGCATGGATGTAACTGGTCAGAGGCGCACAAAATGTCCTCGCTACTCCAATGGTAAACCTTGCTCTATCCACCGTTCATGTTTCAACTGTGAAAATAGATATGGAATAAGGATTACTCACAGGACAGGCGATTCTAAGGCAGGGAGAAAGAAGAGAATAACTTCTACACCACCATCATTGAAGAGGCGGTGAACTGCAGCTATCCTGGAGGGGGAGGGATCTGATTTGCAGCCCTGGCCATGGACACTCGAAGAGGTTTCTCTTTTAGACTCCGTTGAGTCATTCATTTTGAAAACGTGTGTTATCTCAAGTTACAGAAATATAATGTATAATTTTGTCATCAAGAGTCTGCGTGGAAATAATATACAGTTTACAGTGACCTCTAAAACAGAGAGGCAAATTCAAGGAAAACTGGAATTTGTAAGAAAAAACATTTAGCTCTAAAGAATCTTTACTATGGTATTTCAGTTCTTGATAACCAAGGGAATTCGGACTGATTGTTCTATTACCGTATCGGATGGTACCATCTACAGAAATATGGTAAACACTGAGCAATCTTGACTTCGACCGTTATACTTAGAAAAAAAAAGCTTTTGAAACAATTTACAGTGTATTAAGAATCCAAATAAGAATTTTAAAGGCCTATTGTGGAAAAGTCATATTATTCTTTTAAGGCGCCAAAATCACCTTAGGGTATGATGGGCAATGGGCAAAGTAGTCAGTTGCTTAAAACAAAATCGCCTTTCAGATCACTCAGTCTTTCCTTCAGCTCGGAGCCAGCCAACAGTTAGATCTGCTAACCAATAAACTTCGTTGATCATACATTGTGGTCTGTGTTTCCACCTGATTGAATATAAAGTGGAAACTGTTAGTATAGTTTATCAAATTAAATTCCATTATAAAATGGAGAATTGCTGGAAGATTCGTTCTATACTCTATATCGACAGGCAAAAGTCGTGATAGCTAATTATAATTTTGTTCAATCAGGACATGTGATTTTGTAAATAACAACTTCATCATCATCATCTTCTTCTTTTTCATCCTCTCCAGTAGTGAGGGAGGCACCGGTTACGCCGGCTTTTTACGATTTAACTTACTTTTTGAGCGGTATAAACTAACGCAGATGACGTCATGCATCTCATTAAGATAGGATGATGGCATCGTTTAAATTAATGCCGATGACGTCATGCATTCCATGAAGATAGGATGATGTCATAGTTTATTTTTAGCTGGCAACTAATAGAATACCCTAGGGCTTGACGTCATCAGAAATTGTTGAGATCATAATCTATAAATAGAAAAGTGATTTTTTGATATAATCAGCAATTTGCTATAGTCTTCTGATTGGCACATTTTGAAGATGCTATCTTTGCAGATTATACTAACTGAAAAATCTTTAATCATTAAATTATTTTCACTAAAAATCAGTTATAAACAAAACCAAGACACAGAGGATAACTGAAAAATCTTTACTTCAAAAGAAGGAAAAAGGAGGTTATGCGAATGCGAAATCGTACCAATTTTTTTCGGGCAAATCATGAAAATGAGGTCGAAGCGCAGCGAAGCGAAAAACTGCCTATCAAGCAAAAATGTCAATCTTTGTTTACTTGACTTGCACAGGGTATGAAAATTCTATAGAAAACAACAGGTGGTTCTAAAGTAAACCCTAACTCTTTCTGGTTCTTGAATAAACTCCATTCTAGTAACCAGTGTTCTCACCAGGCCGCGGCCTTGCGGGATTCCCGCAAGAAAAACTGAAATGGCGCATTAAAACCAAGAAGATGCGCCCGTTAGGGCGCAGGGGCAAGCTACGAGTCAAACGGACTTAAGTAGTTTTAATGGTCAACCTAACACTAAAGCATTCTGTTTGTTTGAATAAATAAAAAACATGATATCAAATGAGTCAAAGTCTTTAATTTTGTTGCCTTTACTTTCATTGGTCCCACGCACGTCTAAACTCCTCCTCCGAATCGTAAACACCTCTTCTGCCATATTGGATCAGGTAGGTACTTCATGTAACAGACAATTTGGAGTGCGGGCTCAGGTTCTTCGTACCGCATGTTTTTTGTAACTTTGTCCCCCTAATGTTCTTACAGGGCCCCTGTTTCTCAGAAGAGGGGGCCCTGGGACTCCCCAAGGCAAAATCCTGGTGAGAACACTGAGTAACTAATGAAAAAAAAATTGGAATAAGAGCTACGATCACCTAGCAACACGTGTCTTCTTATTTAGCGCTAAAAATCGCATATATAAACAAAACAAACACACACATACACAAAGTGGAGCTGAAAACTCTCTATTTCAATTTTGAATCACCATTACAAAAGCGTTTTCTCCGTTCCATCTCGAGGAAACGACTAAGACCCTGTTTACATGATATGTGGGAAGGTTTCTTTTGTTTTGTGTTCCCCAGAGCGTGAAAACAAAAGAAACCAACCCCACTAGACCGGGGTCCCCCACCCCATGTAAACAGGCCCTAACTATTGAAGTCTCAGCGCTTGATGGGCTCAAGGTCTTGTAAAATTCTCGCGCCGTTAGTCAGTTAATTATGCGAGTTCACACGCCCAAACTTCAATACAAATTAGGTGATCCCTACAGCTAGACCCAAGGGAGCACCTTGACGTATTATTATATAAACACTTTTAAATAACTTAACAAGGATGAATTTGAACACGCGACTAATAATTGCTAGCAATAAAACCACAAGAGAGATACCGTTTTAAAAACTTTCCTTCCGTGTCTACACAATTTTCCTATGGCCTCTAAGCCAAGAGTTCGACTTTCTTTGTTTCTTGCGCTTTGTGGAGTATGTCTAAATGTCGTGGGTCGCGACTCGCGGGTAGAGGTCGCGGGTGCGGGTGCGGTTAAAGGTCGCGGGTGCAGGTTAGGATCGCGGGTAAACATAAATCACCAAATTTAACAATAAAATAAAGGGAAATTTGATTATGTTTCAAAGAAGATTTGCAATACTTTTCTTTTGGTTCACCGGTCATAACGAGGAGTCTAGTTATTTAAACCTAACTAAGGGTGATACAAAGGAAAAAGTCGTTAAAGAAAAATCCACACGCTTAAAACTACATTGGCTTGATAAATTTGCACCAAGTAGCCGAGATACCTGCGTTTGGGAGGTTCAAGTTTTGATAGAGAAAAGACAAGTATTTGAGGTTCACGTTCTCTCCAAAGCTTGAATTTAGCTTGAAGTAGTCATTTTATGTAGCTGTTTTGCAGACTGCATGACTTTTTCAAAAGTCATTCAGTTTTTTTATGGTTCTGGTGTTGCGCACGAGCTGCCGCTCCGACGCCAAGTGTGGATCTGTGATGACTTGTCTTGACGGTTGATTCAAAAAAACCTTCCGGGGATTGCACCCACTCTCCTATCTTGTATTCCCAAGGGTTTAAGGGTACTTAAAGTTGCTATATTACAAAGGTAGTTGGCCCTCTGCTGACCTCTATGTTACCTATATGTAGTAGCGAAGTGTATTGAAAAGGGAGTGTAAAAATTCAGTGCCCCCCACCGAAACCCCATCGGAATGAAAAACTTACTTTAATTAATACTTCTTATTTTCTTTTTTCTGCAACCCAACACAAATAAAACTATTTTAGGGGCATAAATGCGTAATCTGCCAGTTGGTTTTTGATCATTACCATGTTGCGAGTGAAAGAGTTAGAAATAGTTATTACATTTAAGAAGACCATATAATACTTCAATTAGAAATTTTTTTGTTTTTCCAACAACGGGCCCTAGAAATTAGACAAAAAGAAATGATTAAGACCTCCAGCAAAATCTTACAAAGGTGGCTACTTCTAAGATAAAAACAATCTCCCCTCCCCTTGAACTACATCTTTGACCAACCCCTATGTTTTCTCTCTCTACTTGACCCCTTCGTTATTCAGTGTAAGCGTTCACAGTGTCAGCTTATGTGACTTGTCCACTTAAAAGAAGTGGTTTTTACCCTACGTATATATGAAAGACATAATTTGGTTAATCGAAAATACAGCTTAGATTTTTTATGAGACTTGCGTGAGTGTAGCTAAATGTCGTGGGTCGTGGGTAGTGGGTAGAGGTCGTGGGTCGTGGGTGTGGGTAAATGTCGTGAGTAAAAAAATGTCTTCCAAAAAAATAAAAATTCAAAAATTCAAAAGCAAAAAGTTGTAAAATCCATGAAACGAAAATCTCCGAGTACAAACCAGTCCTATTCCCCTTCCCCGGGGTCAGCAAAACAAAGAAGCGAACGGGCACTAAAAAGGCATTTAATTAAGTGAAAAATAAAAGAACCTCTGTACACTATGTAGACCTGGAGCAGGCTAGAGAAACGCTGGAGACTGAACTGCTCTTTCTTAAAGATGTCAACATTCGTGACTGAAACGTCCTTTCAGTTTAAGGAATGATTTTTCGAATCGGTACAGTAAAGAGTTTGTGCACAAAACAAAAAAAAAAAGAATCTCGAAAATTGTATTTCCGTACGGCAATAAAATTTACACACTGTCTCGCCTTAACTTGAAATGTTGGGAATGAAGGTGTTTCCTTCGTAAGATAAGAGACCTAAAACTTCTTTAAGAAAGAATTCTATCCAAAAATATGAATTACCTCGAAATTGTCCTTTTTCCCTCCCCTTTCTCACGGTGATCGCATTCCATCCTGTTAAAAAATCTCCGCTGATCACTGGAATTGTAGATCGAATAAAGATGAATAGTGAGCAGCCATTTCCATTCAGGGAGTCAGAGCTGTCCCATACTTTCTGCCAATTGCAGGTATAATTTACGTCTGTTTCGTTTATTTCGCTGCGACTGCTCAGGTATGGATAAATCTTCATCGACAACATGTCTTTTATACAGTGATGTTGTGAAAGGGGAGCCAAGTCCCACGTAGCTTAGGAAATGTCAGGAAGAGAACGAAGAAGAGGCCGTGACGAAAAAGGCAATCAAGGAGCTTGAGATTTTCATTTCATAAATATTTCACAACTTGTTTCTATTTATTTCTTTTTTTCAATTACTTTACTTTGTCATTTTTTTCTATACGTTTTTTACCCACGACATTTACCCACACCCACACCCACGACCGGCGACCCACACCCACGACCCACGACCTCTACCCACTACCCACGACCCACGACATTTAGCTACACTCGACTTGCGTGTACTTAATTCCTCAGCAAAAAGTATGAATCGATAGTTGTCATTCGTCGTTCGTGCTCAATTTTGGCGCGGTCGCACGAAAGAATTTGCCATCGTGGTAAATATAATTTTCCCACGTTACTGGCAGCTTGATCACGGCAACAATCCCTGTGCAGGTGGGTAAAACTTTCATTCATAGTTCTGATTTCACAGAGTGACAAAAAGCAAGAACATTTCAAGGTTTACTTCGATCGATCGATTCTTTATCCTGATGGAGTCCGATAGTTCCGTTGAGTTTTGGGGGGCCATACGATTAGCGCTGATCGCATGGCCCCCGAAATATGACAACACGCAAAAACATATGTATTAAGGGGTTTCTTGTAACGTCCGTTTACAGCTAGTTAAGTTATTATTCACTTCTATCGGAATTTTTACTTCGCGGACAACGTGTTTTATATGCAGTTCTTTGTTAGTTGTATTCATTCCCTGAAGAAGTCTCAGTAAGAGACGAAACGTGTGCGCTGCTGACTAGTCTTCGTTAGAAAATTAAAAAAAAGAAATTTGTGTTTTGTTGTTTATTTTATCTTTTGGTTAAATTTGGTGATTTATTTTTACCCGCAACCTTTCCCCGCACCGGCGACCTCTACCCGCGAGTCGCGACCCGCGACATTTAGAACTGATGAACATCCGCGAGATGGTTAGCTAATCTGACAAAAGGTACTTCGCCCCGCACGATGAAATCGGACAGTTTCTGCAAACTCTCTTGTAAACCATGTTCAAAAAACTGTTGACAGTTCGATGGCTGAACACAAATGACTTCTATTTCGCAAATAGTCAGGTTATACAGAGTATTAGAAAGGCCAAACACAGGCCAGAAAGGCCATAACGAGGCCTGAAAGGCCAAAACCAGGCCAAAAGGGACAAAAGGAGACAAACGGGCCATTTTCAGTCATGTGTCTTTTTTTTCTCATACACACGCGTGGGTGTGGCGCGTCGCTAGTCACACAACAGCTTTCAATATTAGAATCATCATCTTTATTAATTGTAATCACAAATAACAGTGCCTAATTAAAAAGTTTTGTTCTTCCTTTAATTGACTGGTATTTCGAATTTCAGATTTGTCATTTATTGCACAAGTTTACTTTTATTGTTATTATGATCAAGTCATCAATGAAACACACTTAAAGTTTGGTTGTTTACAGTTTTTGTTGAAATGCAACAATACAAAGGTCCAGGGAATAAAAAAATTCTGTAACATTCATAGTAGGTCTAGTCTTGATCTTTTGGAATGGGCTGCTTTTCGTACAATCGCTTGAGTAAGAATTTTCGCTTATCTATAGCAAGTTCTGTCGATTCCACCCTGTGTCTTTAAGCTCTTTTTGAGTTTCCATCACTTTTTTTAAGTTGGGATCCTGTTTCATTGCACGCATCCACTGTAGATTCTTTAAGAGTACTTTTCTCGACTCTTTTCTGTAAACAGGAAGAAGAGCGTTCTCGGCTTTCACGCGGGCCACATTTTCTGAATCTTCGTTCCCTTCGTACTCATTGATCAATGGGATTGAGTTGATCTGGGTCCCATGGCGTTTCTTGGCGTCATCAAATATGCGTGACCAATGCTCCAAGCTTTCCGTTTCTTCTTGGGAAGACTCTGTTCCTTGGCTAGAGACTTCGCTTTCTTCGCTTTCTTCGCTGTCTTCATATTTTCCAGCACCTTTTTGAATAAGTTTGTAATGGAGGTTACTGTTCCACATCTTTTGGTTTGAACCGCATGCGTTCTGATAGGAAACTAAACACCAGAAAGTAACGCGTCTCTTTTATAGAAAATTGGTGAGGGCGGGGTTACTAAGCGTTCTTCTTGATAATAATAATCGATCTTACATCGACCAGTCATTTAGAATATCAGACGGGCCAAAGCAAGGCTAAAAAAGGGCCAAACGAAGATCAAGACTAGACCAGCTATGAATGGTACAGAATTTTTTATTTGCTGGACCTTTGTATTGTTTCATTTCAATAAAAACATACCAATTACTAATTCAAAATTAATTCAAAACAGTGAAAACTCTTTTAATTAGGCATTGTTATTTGTGATTACACTGAATAAAGATGATGATTCCGATGTTGAGAGCTGCTGCGTGACTAGCGACGCGCGACACCCGCCCATGTGTTTGAGAAAATAAAGACACATGACTATAAATGGCCCGTTTGTCTCCTTTTGTCCCTTTTGGCCTGGTTTTGGCCTTTCAGGCCTGGTTATGGCCTTTTTGACCTGTGTTTGGCCTTTGTAATACTCTGTATAACCTGACATTTGTGTTCAGCCATCGAACTGTCAAGCGTTTTTTGAACATGGTTTACAAGAGAGTTTGCAGAAACTGTCCGATTTTATCGTGCGGGGCGAAGTACCTTGTCAGATTAGCTAACCATCTCGCGGATGTTCATCAGTTAGACCACATACAGCGAAGACACAGTATTTTGCTCTGCTTTTGTTTTTGCTTAAAAGGCAGTTTTTCGCTTCGCTGCGCTTCGACCTCATTTTCCCTTTTTGCCCGAAGAATTAGTACGATTTCGCATTCGCATAACCTCCTTTTTCCTACTTTTGAAGTAACGATTTCTCAGTTAACCTCTGTGTCTTGGTTTTGTTTATAACTGATATTTAATGAAAATAATTTAATAATTAAAGATTTTTCAGTTAGTATAATCTGCAAAGATAGCATGGTTAAAATTTGCCAATCAGAAGACTATAGCAAATTGCTGATTATATCAAAAAATCACTTTTCTATTTATAGATTATGATCTTAACAATTTCTTATTACGTCAAGCCCTAGGGTATTCTGACGTCACTTGCTCCTTGCCAGCTAAAAATAAACTATGACATCATCCTATCTTAATGGTGCATGACGTCATCGGCATTAATTTTAAACGATGACATCATCCCATCTTAATGAGCTGCATGACGTCGCATAAGAGGGCAGAGCCCCGATTTTAAGTACTAGGCGACTTTGAAAGACGCGTGCTTCACATATTTGTGGCGGATTAGAATGCCGGCTTGGTCAGAGGCCCTTTGTTTAAAACATGGCGGGATACTCGCAGCTTAAGGCAAACATGTGACTTGCAGCTGTCAACATAATGCTTTTTAATCACATTCTGTCATAATTAACAAAACCTGATCCATGTTTTATTGAAAGTAATTGTGCAAATCTGGTACCAGACAAACCGCTTTTAACAAACAAGAAAACAAAACTAGTTTATGGTTATTTCTCATTAATTTCACCTATCAAAACAAATATTTACTTTTATCAGTTTTCCCGTTTCTTTCAAAACATCCTTCATTTCCGGGCGTTTCACTGTAGTCAATGAAAGACACGTTTTATCGGTCTTCTTTTACGCGGGAATATCAAAATTTCCATCTTTCAAAACGCGATGAACCAAAGCTCGCAGGGTACCAAAGCGCCAAAGAAGCACGATGCAGTCCCGGTGTTTTGTGAGCACCCGTTAAGAACATTGAACGCCAAAACTATTAAGTTTTGGTACAGCGAGAGGCAGCTAGTTTCTGTACCCAAAGGTTAGTGCATGGACAGGCTATTGAAAGAAAATAAAAGGGATGCTTGCCCAATGGATAGTAGGCCTAACTACGCAAATAAATGTCTCATTGCATCCTTGTCTGCGAGGTTAGTACAAAATTTACACTCTAGAATACATTACACAACTCAATCAGCAACACTTTGCAAGTAGAATTGGCGATTAGTGTGGGCATTTTATATTTCTAAGGGACGTCCGTCGCACAAAGCCTTAACGCGCGGGGGTTTTTAGTCAATGACTGACATAAGAGTTTCCTCACAATCGACCCAGTTAGAGTGCGATAATGTGCGCGTGAACTTTGCCTACAACTGGCAATAAGCTGAATAAACCGGGAGCTGAACACCACGAATAAGTTACTAAATTACATTGCTCAGGTTTTTTTTCTTTTTTTTTTCAAGTACCGGAGGGGTTTTTCGCGCATTCTGTTGCGCAGTTTGGCAGTGATATACCGAGCATCAGACAGGTAACGCGCCGAAGCCACCATTTCACTCTTCTTTTACCTAACAGTTTTCCTACAATCGTCTTAGTACTGGTCCCGTTGCCGAAACCTTGCTCGAGCAAGATACGGTAATCAAGAGTCGAGAATCGAGAATCGATATTGTACTCGGGACAAGAAAAGGTCGCCGTCCAAGGAACAACTGATGCAATGCAAGAGCTTCAAGCTGCTGAGAAACGCCAATTCTGGATTACAAGCAGTGAAGGAACTCCTGAGAAGCGTTCAAATTATAAAGGAACTTTGGAGGCCAGCCAGCCACGGTGATTGTCGCACCACGCATAAAGCAGAATAAATTTGTTAGCCCAGTCTTGTCTTTGCCACAAATCACGTAAAACTATAAAGAAGGTACCACTATGAACTCTGGAAAATGAAAATTCAATAATACTATGGTTGACGACTGACAGTTTAAAAGAGAGACAACTTTCACCTCAGAATCTTGGGCGCACCGCCTGTAAACTCTAAGGGAGAGGGTAGCCCCATAATTTGGCCTATTTCAAAAACAAATGACACTACAAAAATAACCTACAATTATAATTTCAAAAGGGAGACTACCATCACCTCAGAATCTTGGGCGCGCCGTCTGTCAGCTCTGAGGGAGAGGGTAGCTCCATAATTTGGCCTCTTTCAGAAACAAATGACAATACAAAAATAAGCTACAATAATAATTTGGATAAATGACCGACATTTCAAAAGAGAGACTACCATCACCTCAGAATCTTGGGCGCGCCGCCTGTAAGCTCTGAGGGAGAGGGTAGCCCCATAATTTGTCCTATTTCAGAAACAAATGACAGTACAAAAATAACCTACAATAATAATTTGGATAAATGATCGACATTTTAAAAGAGAGACTACCTTCACCTCAGAAACTTGGGCGCGCCGCCTGTAAGCTCTGAGGGAGAGGGTAGCTAGCCCCATAATTAATTTGGCCTATTTGAAAAATAAATGACACTACAAAAATTACCTACAATATTAATTTGGATAAATGAACGACATTTTAAAAGAGAGATTACCATCACCTCAGAATCTTGGGCGCGCCGCCTGTAAGCTCTGAGGGAGAGGGAAGCCCCATAATTTGGCCTCTTTCAGAAACAAATGACACTACAAAAATCCCCTACAAAGATTATTTGGATTATGACCGACATTTCAAAAGAGAGACTACCTTCACCTCAGAATCTTGGGCGCGCCGTCTGTAAGCTCTGAGGGAGAGGGTAGCCCTATAATTTGGCCTATTAAGTAAAAAACAAGTAACAATACAAAGGTAACCTGAAATAATAATGTTTGGATTATGATTGACATTTCAAGGAGGCTAAAATGACTGATATAGAAACCAACTGTATCTGTGACGTTGATTATACAGATCGCCCAAGCGAACACGAAGATGTTGAAGTGGAAGCTAGAATATCTGGAGTAATCCAGCGTCTTGGGCTCCTGCCAGCGAATAAGATTTTGTCGGGATTTCGACAGTGCTTGGCGGGCTTTTTGGAGAGTGATTTGTCACTGGAGGAGCATCGACACTTACATCGTCTTAAGCCAGAGAAAAAAGACTTGAATCCTTCGCCGTTTGATCAAAAAGGTCGTCCATTGAATCAGATAATCGGTCTTGCTGTTCCTCAAGGAGATGCGAAGTGGAGCTCGAGCTCTCGCATTCGTTTACACCGGCGACTATAAAATGTGCATTGTTGACGGCTTTTCTCAAACGTTCAAATAGAGAAGATTTAAAAATTTCTTAAATCAGGGTCTTTCCCACGCAGAGTTCCTTCCAAACCGGAGAAAGATTTGCCAGCAGAGAGTGTATTCCTACTTGTGGCTCCACAGTAAAAACTTGATACGCCGACTCGCCGTTTTCGCTTCGAAGGTCACCAATGTTGACACGGCATACTACTCTTGAAAGAAGTTAAATAAGTCATCGGAGCACTACTTTCTTAAAAGAAAGCGCTTAAAAAACCATTGAAAGCATATCAAGCCTATTTGAATCCAAATGCGGCGAGAAAACTGTAGTTATCAATTGCGAAGCGAGCCGCGAAGATCGACTTCGAAATTTTCAATCGACCGTGAAATGAATTTATAATACCCAAATAGTCTGATCAAATTTCGCGTTTCCTTGAGATGTCTGGTTCGTTTAATCAGAAGTACAAAGTTCCTTGACAGGCAATGTGTCCGGCGCTCTCCAAAGGTGTCTGAAAGAATGCTTAAAACTAATTACGAAAGTAACGCTTGTCTGTTATTGTCGACTTTAATCAGCTATCTTACACAGAATTAATAATTAAATTGATGAATTCACAGAATTTTTCCGTAAATTCACATTTGTTGAAATTTGTCTCATTATGTAATGATTTACGTAATAATTTGTTATCAAATCATGCTGATGACACTTGATTGACTATAGTAATTATTGCATTGCATTATCATTGTTATGATTTGTTTTTTTGTTTGTTTGTTTTTTTTATGTTAAAGCTTTTGCAATACTGTAACTACATAATTATAGTCATGCAAATAAAGCTTATGTTGTTGTTGTTGTTGGAAACCGATTTGCGGTGGTTGCTGTGGAGATTAGGCCTCCTCCAACGCGCACTAAAATCGGGGCTCTGACCTGTTATGCTGCGTTAATTATACCGCCCAAAAAGTTAATTAAATCTGCAAAAAACCGGCGTAACCGGTGCCTCCCCTACTACTCTCTTCTTTTTTTATTCTTTTATGTTTGTTTTTTTTTTTCCCTGAAAACAGCAACCGTGTTTAACATTTACTCTTACAAATAGCGACTTTCCATTTCAATTATTTTTTGTGTTTAATTATACCGACTGTACGCTGAAATATAGATATACATGGTATACAGAATACTAGAGTTTACATGGGTAAACGGAATATTGCAGAGAAAAACAGGGTATTTAATAGTACTAGATATACATGGGTAAACATGGAATTTAACAATTATTTCACGAGTGTGCGTATGCGATGAGATGGTTGTAGCCAACAAGGCGCTTGGCGACAAGTTGGCTATAATAATCTTATTAAGTATCCAAGAAGCGCGAGTAGAATCATTATTTTATTAAAAACGCCCACAAAATATCGAGAATTGGTCTTGACTTTATTTGTAAGAACAACAGATAAGGTCTCAGGAATATCTTGCATGCCGGGATAGCATATGTAAGTATAGATGATCTCACCGAGCACTTATAAATATTGATAATGTTGCTGCCAGCTACACCAGCTCTTTTAAGCACCCTAAAGGAATACAATCATTTGGCGGCTTTACCAATTAAATATAATCAATGTGGTAGTTCCATGTAAGATCAAGCCTTATTTTTACACCAAGTTTTTAAATCTCGAAACACGCCGCTCTAACTGATGGTTTCCAAAGCAAATAGGCTGTATGATATTATTGGGATATTTCATGAAATTTATAACCATTTCTTTATGATTTAACCGTTCATCTCATGCTCAATAAAAAAAAAATGTGTGTGTCTCTAACAAGCAAAATTCAAAATGCTAATGAACACTGCAGTACGTATCTATCTGTAGTCTAGTTATCATAATTGAGAACAGGGTCACGCCCATCTTAGTTCCTTGGGGTATGTCACCATGGGTTTGTTTCCACTCAGGCAAGGTATTACCTATACACACAGCTTGGGTTCTATTGGTCAGAAAAGACTGACTATATCAAATCAGATAGCACAGGTTCCACAACAAGAAGTGGAGTTCGTCTATAATCATATAGAGGATATTACACGGAGGCGCGAAGATATAAATCTTATTTTCGAGCGGCAAAACAATATTTTACGAACGAGCACAGCGAGTAAGTAAAATATTGTTTTTGCCACGAGAAAATGAAATTCATATCTTCAAGCCGCCGTGTAATGTTCTTTTTATTATATAGACAAAAAGGCATCGATAAATAATGGGGGGAAATTACCGAAATTACGTCATCGATAAACTCACGTGTGAGATTATGGAAAATAAACCACCCGGGTCCCGGATGTAGTTTTTATGAATTTTCCGAGTGGTATATTTTCCTGTAAAACACTCGTGTCTATATAATAAATGGTAATCTAACATATCCAATCCCTTAGAGATGTCTGAAAAGAAGATCTGTGCACAGGAATTTCCGAAAAGGTAAGTAAGAACAGAATAAACGGTTAGAGACCATTGAAAACAAGACGCTGTGTGAGCGTATATTTGGGCGTGGTCGTACCAAGGGTACGATACTTTGAACATGCCTTATTGCAGCTAAAGAACTGTCATCATATCTTACCAGAGAACTCAAATCCTTTATTCCACTTGTTTGCTGAACCACACAACTTATACAGTTTGTCCCAATCCACAACAAAAATAGTGTCATTTCACGACAATGTTTGAAATTATGCACATCTTCAATGCAGACATGCTTGGAGCCAAATTGCAACATAGGACATAAGTGGTTACAGCCCAGAGAGTAAGGTTTATCTCAGCTCCACTGATACTGACCGATGTGTTTTCACACCCATCACTTTGTACAGTGTATTCCGGTTACTAACAAGGGCAAATAAAGTTCCTCAGGTCCAGTATCCACAAGGATTTAATAAGAGAGTAACACATTGCATAAACTGCTATAGGGTAGCACTGTTTACAGGAATATTGGTAACTATGAACATTTGATATACTACAATTTTCAACATTGCTTGAGAAAAGATGAGGTTCAAAGGTGGCAATATGTACACCTTTAAGTTCATATATATCCTCAGTCCTATGTAGAGTATGAAAATATTGTACTGATTTATGCATGGATGGTATTTCTAACAATACACATGTCCCTTCACTATGACTGTTATGATACATATCTCTAGCATGAGAATCAAATACATTATATCCCCCAGCCTCAGTGCTGTAGATACCAACACCAATAATTGCCACCGTTAAAATGAATGAGATGTAGTTCAGTGTTTCAAATGCTGTAACCTGTGAGTGGCATATACAGTAGTGGATGGATGTTAAAAGTATAACTATCACTATATTCAAGGAGTAAAAATTGCTCAGACACTGTAACCATTCCTGGCAATTCTGTAAACATTAACATAGATTGGCTTGCAAGCACTGACAGACTAGAATATAACTGAATTCCAACAATCATTATTTGAGTCATATATCATCAACTGAAGTCATCTTTGTTATCTTACTGTAAATTAATTCAAGCGCACAGACTCATTGCGACACATCGTTGTCCACCATTTTCCCCAAATCCTGTAACATTTCCTTGACAGTATGGAGCATTAATTGTTTTTGTAGCATCTACATAAACTGAAGGTCCTGGATTCCTCTCTATATCAGTACAAAGCTAAAGTGGCCAAAATTAACCCGGTGATTCAAACTGTTTTAAGCACTATAAAATGGATAATTACATGTACAGAGGGGCAAATTCTTACTAAGAAGCCTATTTGGATATCTCATTCCACCTAAATCGCCTGGGTACACAGGATATACCAGGGTATACAAGGTATAGAGTATTACTAGGGTAAACATGGGTACACAGGATATATAGGGGGATATAAGGTACACAGTATTACTTGGGTAAACATGGGTATACAGGATATACAAGGTTACAGTATTTCTAGGATAAACATGGGTACACAGGATATATAGGGGTATGCAGGGTATACAGTATTACTAGGGTAAACATGGGTAAACAGGATACACAAGGGTATACAAGGTATACAGTATTACTAGGGTAAACATGGGTGCAGAGGATAAATAAGGGTTAAAGAGGGTATACAGTATTACTAGGGTAAACATGGGTACACAGGATATATAGGGGTATACGGGGTATAGAGTATTACTAGGGTAAAAATCGGTTTACAGGATATATCGGGGTATACAGGGTATACCGTATTACTAGGGTAAACATGGGTAAACAGGATATACCAGGGCATACAAGGTATACAGTATTAATAAGGTAAACATGGGTACACAGGATAAATAGGGGTATACAGGGTATACAGTATTACTAGGGTAAACATGGGTACACAGGATATATAGGGGTATACAGGGTATACAGTATTACTAGGGTAAACATGAGTAAAAGGATATATAGGGGAATACAGGGTATACAGTATTAATATGGTAAACATGGGTAAACATGATATACCAGGGTATACAAGGTATACAGTATTACTAGGGTAAACATGGGTACAGAGGATAAATAAGGGTTATAGAGGGTATACAGTATTACTAGGGTAGACATGGGTAAACAGGATATACCAAAGTATACAAGGTACAAGCTTTTCGAGTGTTCTCCCAACATCCCAACTGGGTTATCACGCCGGTAAACCCATAGAAAGTGTGGTCTATTGCTTTTATAAAACAACTTTTAGTAGAATGGAGTCTTTTAGGTAAAAAAATAAGCTTTTAGTGCCGTGATCAAGTCATGTCTTCTCTCTAAAGTCATCAGAAGCCAATCATGACTCACGATTTAATAGCGCTGAACTTTCTCAAAACTCAGTTCAGTCAAACAACAAACAACAGCACTTCAAAATACGAGTTTTTGCACTCATTACATGATAACTTATGAAAGGTGTTTTACAGGAAAAGTCAACACATATTCATGCGAACGTACAATGAAAGAATACGTTCATGGTTTGTTTACTACAGAAGTAGAAATTGATTGAACATCAGACTGTACGCAGCTTTATTTTGTTGAGTCGATCCGTGAAAATGTCGTGCTTACAGACGGAACTGGCAGCTATTGTAATGGAGGACTTCATTCACTTTTTACAAGACGCAGTGGTTTAAGATCTGTTTTCTGGACTTTATCATGATCAAGAAATGCTGCCGTAACGACGTGACTGCATTTGCGAAGTTGTCGCATGTAACTTTATAAGCACGTAAAGCGACTGATGGAAATATGTCAGTGGTGAAGAAAGGTTTCTTTGCCGTAGCCACATATTGGCGCTAATATTTGTCGATTTGTGAAGTTAGGTGGTTTGAGGTAGGTTATGGCATCGATATCACCAAATAATTTGTGCAAATGTTGGAAAAAACCAGCCCGAAACTCTGAAATCTTTCATCATCTTTGGCAGCTTGTTTACAACCTACAGCGGCCGATTTTGTACCATATCTTGATCAGAGATCTCTTTTTGGAACAATTTCTCTCATGAAGGAATTTAATTTTGACATAAAATAAATCAGGAATGCTAAAACTATCCGTTTTGTTGCTGGTTGGCACATGGTTAAGTTTTCCTAGAGACTTTCTACACCAGAACTTCACACAGTTGTTGTCTTTCTCTGCGATTTGGCATAGTCGTGAAATGTAAACTGCTTTCCAGCTTGGTACTTTATAACTTCTAAAGTTATGGCAGTCGCGAATTATGACCCTCAGTAATAAAATGTGGAAACCAATGCATTTAATAGTAAGAAGGGCTACAGTAAGTAACTTGTTCTGTTTTTTAGCCTTTCTAAAATCGTTGTTTGTTTATGGCTCGTGGTCCGGATGCCTTTTTCTATGGGTTTACCGGTATAATAAACCATAGGTTTTTTTTACCAATCAGTCACGCGTACTTTCTCAGTTATGTTGATATATAGATTTAGCCAGGGCTAAAAGCGAGGCTCCCATTAATAAATTTATAATTTAAATCAAACAATAAACTTGTATTCCACAATTCAGTTTACTTTAGAGCACATTCGTGTGACTTTTCAGGGAAAGGCTAAGTTGGTAGCCTCATAAGTACACCCAAAAACTGGCAATCATCTTCGATCACATTTATTTAAGAGCCATAATGGCTCTTGATCACCGTAGATTAATTAGACCTGGAAAAAAATTTCTGGCCGAATTTTTTTGCGTTCGACAAGTTTATTTTACAAAATCTTGCCAACAAATCTGGGTGCGTGTAAACCAACCTTTTATAAGTAGTATAGGAGGGATGTTTTAGGCCTCTTTTTTGCCCTCTTTAATATACACGATTTGCCCGCCAAAAATCAGTGAACCGGAACAAGGACAATCACAGCAGCAGGAAATAGGAAGTGCATAATTACGTTACGTCTCAGTGATTTTAAGTCACAGACAAGTTTGACTTTACTCCTCAGACAGTATGAATTAACCAATAAAAACGTTTCTTATTTTCTAACTAACCAATCGAAAACGAAGACGTTTATCGACCTTAAAGTAACTAAAAATCCTAAACCAACTAAAAATACCACATGACCTTATCTTTATGAGATACCACCGCAAGTTAATGAGATTCCTGCGCATTTTATTCATGAGATCAAGACAAAAGGTTATGACGTCATTGGCGTTAATGTATTCCTCCGCACTCTAATGAGAATCCTCCGCAAAAAAGAGGCCTAAAACATCCCTCCTATACTACTTATACATCACATCTGAGGTGAAACAGTATTATGAGGCACTGTTTTTATCATACAGACCTCGGACAACAGAATGCAGTATTTCACAATATTGCGATGCAAATTGCTATTCAGGTCCCGGTTGTTCAAACGCTGGATAGTGTTATCCACCGGATAAATCGCTATCCAGAGGATAAGTAATAGGGAAATCAATTGCGTTATCCACTGGATAGAGATTTATCCAGTGGATAGAGTTATCCACCTTTCGAACAACTGGGGCCAGGACGATCGAAGCACGCTTGGGCTTTAGCCGCAAACCGTTGAAAAAATTTTCAAAATCATCTATACGGCCAGCCGGTTCTGACTTTTACAGTGCTAGCAGTGGCGAGTGTTTGAATGAACATTAACAGAGCTACGCTCCAACATAATAAAGAATTTACTGAACGACTGAAAACAATCGGCAGAACGATTAAAATTACAAGAGAGAGTACTAACAATCAATAAAAGAAATATAATTCGGTGAAACATATGCAGAGACGACAATTTTCATTCAGGAAGACAAGTATTAAAGTGTTTCTAACAATCCTGAGTCTTCGAGCTTAAAGCTGAAGTTTATGTTTTAAGCCGGTTTCCCGGTGTTTGCTTTTTTCAAAGACGAACTCGAGGCAAGAAAATCGCTGAAACCTTTCTTTTACAGCCAGAATTATAACTAAATATTCTTTGAAACGTTTTCTTTCTATTTGCCGTGAGAAAATGTCTAAAGGCTTTTTAAAGATCTGTAAGCTTATAACAAACCTGATACTCGGTCAGATCATTGTCTCAAATCTTACAAGCGTGCGTAAACAAAATAGCCGTATAAACTACGCTCAACTTCATTAAATTAGGAATAAAAAACAAACATCAAATACAATAATTACTTAGGCTTACCACTCGAGATGCAGCTCCTGAAAGGTATCAAGTAAGGCCAGTATCGCTTCAGACTTTGCAACCCTCTTACGCATTAAGCAAGATGAAAACGAAAACGATGCCATCCGAAATCGGATTTCCGACTTTGACTCAACCAAAAACCCAATAAACAAACTAGCCATGAATAACAGAAGACTCCTGATAGCAGCTGAATTTCATTTTGTACATCCAGTGGAAAAAGAAAGTTAAAAACATCACAAGTTGAACCTGAACTCTGTCAGCTTCAGCTGTCAAAGTAAACAAGATTCAAGATGCTGCATAAATTCTCCGCATGAACTCACCTGTCAAATTTTGACCAATCAGAGCATAAAAATTGGACGTAGAGCGTGACCAACGCGTGAACATGGCGAGAAAAGTCAAAAGCAACTGTCTTCCCTGCCTGTAGCAGCTGGCTGAATTTTCGCGTCCGAGGTCAGTTTGAAATCAAAATTTTATTTGTGCGGCACATAAACACAACATATTTCATATGAATTTTAAAAAAGTTAAACTTGAGCCTGCGATCATTTGAAAACCAGTACCTTGTCAGCGGATAACTTCAAAAAAACACTTGACCTCGATGGGTCGACACCTGAGCCCGCGATACAGTCAAGTGATGCTGGTCAGCAGATACCTTGTTTTGACAGCTGTCAATGGACCACGACATTGACGTGTATCAGTTTTCCTGTGCTCCGATACCAAACTAGCTAGAAAGTATGAGACTGAACATTGATCTCTATCTAGTAAAATAATTAACTGGTAAGCGGACAGGTTCCAAATAAAACACGTCACCTCAATGAGTTGACACATGAGCCCGCGATATGGTCATGGGATACTGGTCAGTGGCTATCCTGTTTTGACAGCTGTCAATTGACCATATTGTGACTGTCCAATGTAAAAGATGTGGACTTGGCAAGACACGCCTGAGACACCCCTCCCTTCCTTTTGATGGTCTTCCCTACCCCACCCGTACAATCCGTAGACGCGTACGCTCGGTCAATCACGTGACAACCAAAGGAAAAGAGGTTGACCATAATCTATGGGTATGGGGCTCTGTCCCACGCGCGCTTCGCGCGCGTGGGAGCCCCGCTTTAAAGTATTAGAGCGGTTTTCACTTGACTGTCGAAAGGGATTGGTTTTGGTTTTGGTTTTGGTTTTACTAACACCGCGGCAAAACGCAATGCGCATGAGCACAAAATTTGACATCCGGTCAGCTTTTTATTTCCGGTCTAGTATATAAATCAATTGCGTAAGCATAACATCGCCGTCGCACCAAGTTTAAAAGCAAAAAGGGCGAAACAGACAAAAAAGGGGGCGAAAAAAATCACTTCAATCGAAAGCTCATATATTTTTCTAGTGTCAAACTTTTGCACCACATGGTTATCTGTTTGCACCAACGGTGAAAATGATGTTTGAAGTTTGCAGGTCGCGAGCGCTCGACATGACGACTTTGTTTTTACTGGCTTTCTTGCATGCTTCTGGTTTGGCATAAGTTAATTTGGGAGAAGGCGACAACTAAGAAAAGAATAACAATACTTATGAAAGAAACCAAAATAAAGACGTCATCATTATCATTAACACTAAAACCAGGAATTAAAATTTTAGTCCGTTTAATAATTTTTTTATTATCAGAGAAAACAAGAACTCAAAACAAAAGATGGGCGGGATTTAATAACAACTTCGACTTTGACGACTGCAGTCACAAACACTCGCAGGTTTTCAGTGCCGGGAAACTAAACATGCCTATAAATGACTTTCATTCAAGAAAATGCCTATTTAATTCTTTTACATGGTTTTTCTTTGGTTGAAGACTTCAATAACTTCAGACTGTGCGGCTCGGCTGCATCTCATGCAAACACGAAACTTCCAACTGCAAATACATGGCATGAAAAGTTCGACTTCTAAAAGCCATCGAACCAGCTTTCGCTCTCTGATTCTGAGAATGAAAAAATAAATAGAGTTGTCAACTTGCTGCCAACCTCAACAGTATAATTAAGCTTATGTTTCATGGCAATCATCTCAGAGGAGTTTCGTTTCAAAACAAGGTAAGACTCACTGGTGAAAAAAATAAAAATAAAAAAGCGATTGTGTGTTGTGGTTTCCCAAAGCTCGAATCGGCTTTAAGACATGTAGACTGAGAAATTGAAGAACTGGAAATTAGAACTAAAATACACAAGCTTGCAATGATAACTTTTTATGTCTTAGTTTCAGCCAGGTTAAGTGAAAAATAACAGTCAAAAACTTTGTTTTCGTGAATGAAAATCAGTTTACCTGAGGCTCTAGTCAAAATTACCAGTGAAATTACACACTCTGAGTTATTATATCACCTTACCTTTTCTGAATCTAATCGACTAATTGTTTCAGTGATCTGTGCCTGGTTATCCATAAAAGCAATTTCAATAACTACAAAATAGTCAAAACACGAGCAGCATGAAGCAGAAGAACTGAACCACAAGCTGCACACAGAATGAATCCGAACGCGCGCGGGAGACTTTGATCTGACTGGAAAGTGTGACTGAAAAAGAGACCGGAAATGTTCATCCTGGCGCATGCGTAGACGTTTTGCCGCGGTGTTGGTTTTACTAACACCGCGGCAAAACGTCTACGCATGCGTCAGGTTGAGCATTTCCGGTCTCTTTTTCAGTCACACTTTCCAGTCAGATCAAAGTCTCCCGCGCGCTCTCGGCTTCATTCTGTGTCTTCTGTGTGCAGCTTGTGGTTCAGTTGTTCTGCTTTACGCGGGATACGCTGCTCGTGTTTTTGACTATTTTGTAGTTATTGAAATTGCTTTTATGGATAACCAGGCACAGATCACTGAAACAATTAGTCGATTAGATTCAGAAAAGGTAAGATGATAATAACTCAGTGTGTAATTTTGGCTAGAGCGTCAGGTAACACAGGAAATGGCATAGTCAAATAACCAATTGTAATTTCAGTAATGATTTTATGTGTTTGAGGAATCATAACCTTGGTTTGCCCAGGCTTCACCAAGTCATCATATCATTTTGTCAGGCACAGGAATCATAACCCTGGTTTTTAAAGGCTTTATGAAATCATTTATTTGAGTGAATGAAAATCAGTTTATAAACTGATTTTCATTCACGAAAATAAAGTTTTAAACTAAGACATAAAATTAAAACGCGTTATCATTGCAAGCTTGTGTATTGTAGTTCTAATTTTCAGTTTTTCAGTTTCTCAGTATACATATGTTAAAGCCGATTCAAACTTTATTTGGAAAACGATAACACACAATCGCTTTGTAGTTTTGTTTACCAGTGGGTTTTACCGTGTTTTAAAACGAAACTCTTCTGGGTTGATTGCCATGAAACCTAAGCTTAATTATACTGTTGAGCCGGTTGGCAGCAAGTTGACAACTCTATTTATTTATTTTTCCATTCTCAGAATCAGAGAGCGAAAGCTGGTTCAGTGGCTTTTAGAAGTCGAACTTTTCATGCCATGTATTTAGCAGCTAGAAGTTTCGTGTTTGCATGAGATGCAGCCGAGCCGCACAGTCTGAAATTATTGAAGTCTTCAACAAAAGAACAACCATGTAAAAGAATCAAATAGGCATTTTCTTGAATGAAAGTCATTTATAGGCACGTTTAGTTTCCCGGTGACTGCAGTCATCAAAGTCAAAGTTGTTATTAAATCCCTCCCATCTTTTGTTTTGAGTTCTTGTTTTCTCTGATAACAAAAAAATCATTAAACGGACTAAAACTTTATTTCCTGGTTTTAGTGTTAATGACAATGATGACATCTTTATTTTGGTTTCTTTCATAAGTATTGTTATTCTTTTCTTAGTTGTCGCCTCCTCCCAAATTAACTTATGCCAAACCAGTAGCACGCAAGAAAGCTAGTAAAAACAAAGTCGTCTTGTCGAGCGCTCGCGACCTGCGAACTTCAAACATGATTTTCACCGTTGGTGCAAACAGATAACCATGTGGTGCAAAAGTTTGAGAATAGAAAAATATTTAAGCTTTCAAATGAAGTGATTTTTTTGGGCCCCTTTTTTGTCTGTTTCGCCCTTTTTGCTTTTAAACCTGGCGCGACGGCAAAGTTATGCTTACGCTATTGGTTTATATACTAGACCGGAAATAAAAAGCTGACCGGATATTAAATTTTGTGCTCATGCGCATTGCGTTTTGCCGCGGTGTTGGTTTTACTACGCCCTTTGGTTGGGGCCACGACTCCAATAGCGCCTAGTACTTGTTTCGTGTACCTATGATCCACCGATTTATGACATCACATCCGGTTGCAGAGTTGCTGCTCTGTTTTCGCGCAAAGCACCAAGATGGACGCTCGATGCCATTTGGTTTTCTCGTTATTTTAACCCACAGGCTAACGGAATTATGTATCTTGAATGCCGAGAATGTTGAGAAGGTATCTAGCCGGCCTTTCAAGCAAATGTCATGACCAAACAAAGAAGTTTTAGTATTATTTTAACGATAAATATCATGCAACTGCGGGGAATGTCATGGCGAGTGTTACGATGTTTCAAAACGAGTGTCGTTAACGTTTTGCGGCTTTTGCGGCGTCTGATTTAGAGAAGTCATCAAACAAAATATAATTTCCTGAGCGGAAAAGAATGGGGAAAACGCCGATGGCCACAGTTTAAAGTGTTCACCGCTGGAAGGCTGTATCACGCCCCGTAAAGTTTCAAAAACTTCTACTCAACTGCATGGCCATGGTTTTGAGGAATGTCATGGCGAGTCTTTCGCTCTTTGTAATCGAGCGTCACTCAAGAGTTTGGCTTTTGCGGCTTCTGATTCATCGAAGTCATCAATCAAAATTGCCTATCCTGAGCGGAATGGAATGAGCAAAACGCCGGTGGTCATAGTTTAAAGTGTCAACTGCTTGAAGGCGTTATCACTGGACGTAAAGTTGCTGAAAGCTCTACCCAACTGTCCTGTCATGGCGAGTCTTTCGCTGTTTCAAAACGAGTGTCCGCTCAAAGGATTGGCTGTTGTAGCTTCTGAATTACCGAGATTGTCAAACAAAATAGCCTATCCTGAGTGGAATAGAATGGAGAAAAAGCTGATAGTCACAGTTTAAAGTGTTGATTGCTGGAAGGCTTTATCACTCGTAAAGTTGCTCAAAGCTCTTCTCGACTGTACGGTTTGAGCAATGTAATGGTGAGTCTTTCTCTGTGTCTAATCGAGCGTCACTCAAGATTTTAGCTTTTGCATCTTCTGATTCACCGAAGTCATCAATCAAAATACCCTATCCTGAGCGAAGTACCGTGGAGAAAAAGCCTATGGTCACAGTTACAGTGTTAACAGCTGGAAGGCTTTGCCAGTTGACGTAAAGTTGCTGAAAGCTCTACTCAACTGATTTCGAAACGGTCACATGTTGCGAGCTTCTGGAAGGTTAGTGTTGGATTTTTAGCATTTAAAGATTTTTTAGCCTTTGAAGATTTATGTTTAGAACAAGAGTTAAGCCCAAAAGTAGTCCAATTTGTCATTATCTGAGAGAAATCAAAAAAGTTTGTGCCCTTCCTTTTTTCTAAGCTTGCAAGTGTAACATACATGAAAAGAAACCCTTATGCACTACTAGTCATATTGTTAAAATGACTAGTTTGAAATTACTCCTTATCTTAACTGATAACTACAACACTTATTTAAAAATGTATCGCTCCCGAACATGTGTTGATTGGTTCTTGACCTTTACAGTTGAATAAAAAAAAATACTACGATTTACAGTGATTATAGTTATGTAATAAATTAGTAAATTAAGAAAGAATGTAATTAAAGTGAAAAAAGAAAACAGCTCTTTCAACTGTTTTAGAGGTTTGAAGTTCTGAAGGGATCACTAGAGCTGTAATATGAGACTCAATAAGAGGTCTAGTTACTTTAGAACACGTTAGAAGTTTCCTGGAGCAAAACACATATTTTGGCTTGGTAATTATTATGAATTAAGTGTCAGTTAGCTAGGGTCATTCATAATGCTGTACTGCACCTTATTTTATCTGACGGTTATCTAAGGTATAAAAAATAAATTTTGTGTATTTTTAAAGACTTCAATATATGCTTACTTTTGAATTTATAAACAATATATATTTAAATCCTACACTGTAAGTCTGGTTGTCAGTGTAGCCTGTGTCGCAGATATAATCTTTTGCTAGTTAGTAACATCTGCAAAGCCGTGCCAATATTCTGGGCTGCCAATCCCAATGTGTTTCGATATTCCCTTCAACCTGATTGGCACACTGATAATGGTATTTTTAAGAGGCCAATCATAGCACATATGCAAGTGCTAGTTCACAGGTGGGCCACGGGATGCCCAGAAGCAGGATTTCAGTGCTGTCTCACAGGGGGACTTAACCAGAAGTTTAGTTCTGTCTGTGGCACAGGTTAGTCCTCTGGGCATTAATGTTTAAATCATGTATTTTATTTTGCTTAGCTGGGAAGACAAAAATAGATGACAGAAGAGCACAAACAAGAGAATATTAAGAAGTATTAAAAAGTATATCTACCACACAACTCGTAAAGAGAGGTGAAAGTCCATGAGGACAGAAATGTTGTTACAGAGCCATAAAACATTAATGTTAAGTACAACTCACTGTCAAATAAGTTAAAAGGAAGGAAGAATGCTGACGTTTCGAGGAATACACTTTTCTGGTTTATGGAAAATCTGCAGCAACAGAAGACACTGAAATCATGTTGAGCTGGTTCAGGATGTCAATTCTGTTTAGGTGGAATCCTCTGACAGTGTCTAGGCCAGTGTACAGTAGTGTGCTTCGAAGCTCGTCCTTGGTAAGACATCTCCTGACTTTACATTCCAACTCTCTTTTAAGGACCTCAAGGCTAAGTATCTGTTTCCCTGACATTCACTTTCTTGTCAGGGATCAGCAAAGTTTAACTAGACGACTGTGTTAACGGTAGTTTTTTTTGTAAGACTTAAAAAACTTCACAGGAAAGACTGAAACTAATGATCTTGCACTAAGCAGCTTTGAAGAAATCAAGGTTTCTTGGGGAAGACTGTGCTGCACATATTTCCCTTGGAGATAAGAAGGCAAACACCCTAGATGCAACTATAGGAAACAAAACTAACCTTGAATTTAATAGAGAGTATGCACTCACGTGGCTTATTAGTTTGGGACACCAACATGGTCTCTGTTTCATTGTTTTGGGACACCAATATGGCCACCGTGACATCATGTGAATACTCTCTATACTTCAATCAGTTTCTCATGTTTATTTAATTTTCCATCCCTAAGCATTCTGTTCCTCCTGTGGAAAGGAGTTGGTGGTTGTGTTATGACAACTTCATCCCTTAGTGTTCTTCATCCCTCGATTAATCAGTCAGGGTAAAGGATTGTTAATATGATCCTGATTAGGAGAAGAAAGCTTCCCGTACGAAACTCGCAGCGCTGTACAGCGCCACAAA